CCACCAAGTTTCTGTAATGGCAACAATATCATATCTAACCTCATTTACTTGAATTTCTAATTCACCCTGTTTATTCCTCATACTCTGTGCATTGGTGTAGAGACATTTGAGTCCAATTTGATTGACTTTGTGTTTACTGTCTACATAATCTGTGTTGTGCCTGATTGCCCTTACTTTCTTGCTACCGTTTGATTAGTGCACATGGTATGGCACTCACTATTAAATGCTTGGTTTTGCTTAACAGCAAGGTTGATGAGAATATCATTCTTTTATGAGGATATCATTCTTTGGCTACAGTTATCTTTCTTGAGTTGTTGTTTGTCTCTCATTTATAAATTAGGTAATCCATCTTTGTACTGAGACAATTATTAGGCACAATAAATCTGGTTGGATACAAAATAAATAGCATGAACAGAGTATCAATATGGCCATTTTTTTGAAGGCAGGTCTTTAAATGCCACTACTTTGGCATTTGAGGTGGCGCAAATCAAAAACAAAGCTCTTAAGATTGTTCCTAATATTTCACAATACTACACATATTTCTACTGAAGTGTCTCTGAATCCTCATCAGGAATTCAAATCAATTTTTAACTTGGGTAGTTGTAAAATATTAATATTTGACAAACTTTTGTTTTTATAGCTTTGTGTTCGTTCAATGGCAATGTTAGAGACAATTTGCCCTTTGATGAATGGAATGAAGAAAAGATCAGATAATGTTGGCATAGCCTGTGAAGCACTTAATCGAATGTTTCAAAAGGAACAAAATGATCTAGTAGTCCAAGTAAGCAAATCTTGTAACTTTCTAATAAAATGGCACTTTATTTGTGGTTACAGTTGTGCATTTTTTCTCATTTATTTATACTTTTTATGTCCCTGTTTCCTTATCCCAAGTTGCTCTGGGTGGCTTACAATGATATAAAATCATAGATCTAAAAACATTAAAAGCATTAAAACTAAGGTTAATAATTAAATAAGTTAAAAGCAAGAATGTGGATGGTACAGGAGTGGACTTTTGTCTCTCATTCAATCAACTAGCTCTAGTATTGCACGCCTCCACCGGGGCACAGAGAGAGCCAGGTTTTAAGACTTCTCCAGAAGAGTGGACGGAGATCTAAATTCTGGCGGTAATGGATCATGACAGAGAACACTTTTCTCCTTGACTCTGCTGATCACAATTCCTTGGATTATCTGACACTGTATTGTCAACAATGTTACTTTATGAGAATTAAGATGGTGGACGTTTTTGTTTATGATTATGTTGTTACTATCAAACGTTAGGAATATGGTATGAACCCTCAAGAAATGACAGATTCCTCAGCATTTACATTTCAGTCAAAATTGACAGGTATATAAGTAATGAAAGTTTACTAGTTTAAGAGACATAGAAAAGTTGAAATAGTTTCAGAGAGGAATTACATTATGACCATAGGCTGGAAATAAAGCCCTCTGATGAATGGTTAAAGAAACTGAGGATCCATAGCTTCCATAAAGAATGATTCACGATATGCTAGTTGTTTATGAAAATATATTGTCATGTGTAGGACAAACCTGTTCTCTTAATACAGAGAGATGAAATTAAAAGAGAGGATTCAGACCAAATATTAAAAGACATTCTTGGCAGGACATTAAGCTGTTCACCTAAAACAGAGGTTGGGAACTATGGCCCCTTTATGACTTTTGGATTTCATCTTACAGAATTCCTCACCTGCATAAGCCATAAAAGGGACATAGTTCCCCACCTCTGGCCCAAAACTATTGTATCCCTCAAACAAGTTGGATAATCCTTGTTAAGAAAACATTCTTACACAGGATTACACAACATCCATAAATTCCTTCCAGCTCATATTTCATGATTCCACATTTGAACTCAATTTATATTCATTTGCTATTGAAATATTTTTAACTTCAGCTAAATGCAATAGGAAGGCTCACAGAAGTCTTAATCAAAATGTTTTAGTCTGAATTTAAGAATATGCTCACATTGTCTTGCAGGCCTTGAAAGCAGATTTAGTACCCTATCTCCTAAAATTGCTTGAAGGTGTTGGCCTTGAGAATCTGGAAAGCCCGTCAGCTACAAAAGCTCAAATTGTTAAAGCACTTAAATCAATGACTCGCAGTTTACAGTATGGAGAACAGGTAAAATCCCAAACATGTTTTAAATTCGTTTTAGAGCATATGGAATAAGAGGCTTTATTGTAACTTTTATTTTGAAAATACGTTCTTCCAACTGGTGAAGTTATAAAAACTGAGGATTTGGTAAAACCAAAAATGACACTAAACCAATTTCCATAAGGATAAGTGAGCCTTTCCAACCTGTACAGCAAGTACATTTTTTCTCTATTTTCTCACGTTTGTAGGTGAATGAAATCCTGTCTCAATCTTCTATATGGAGTGCCTTCAAAGATCAGAAACATGATTTGTTCATATCTGAAACTCAGACAGCAGGATACATCACTGGTCAGTGTACTTCTACAGTGAGGGTTGTTGAAAGATCACTTAATTGACTTTTAGTTGGTTTTCATGTATAGAGTTGTTAATGAAATTGTTACATAATACAATACAGGTTAAAGTGAGTTCCCATTCATCATTTCTTCTGATGGTTCACATCTGAATAGATGATTGTGAAAGCAATAACAAATACTTAAGGGGTCTAAGGAATAAATAAAAAGGTGACTTCCTTTCGAATCCACCTTTAATTCTCAAATGATTACAGGATTATATTTCAAGCATCAGGCCACAAAGCATTCTCAAAATGTGATAAAGTTATGCTTCACTTTTTGCTTCAAGGTGCTTTGCCATCTGTACTTCCCTTGCTTCTGGTTTCTTTCTCCTTCAGGTATCTCCTCTCCTTCCCTTCTATCTGGTAGCAGTCCCCTTCACCTCAGAAGTGGGCTTTAGATCTTCTTTTGGCAGGCAGCTTGCTAAACTTCTCTCTTGCATTCACTAAAGCAGGTAGATACCATTTTGCTCAGTGCATGTAGCCTCTGCGCTATCCCATAGATTATACTTACAAGATGCATGATGTACCACTGTAGTGAACACAGACTGTTTTAAATTGGTACAAAATGCTGTAGTTGCTGCTGTCCTTTTGGGGTGATTGACTTTAGGGTTCCAAATTACAATTGTCGAAATAAGAATGTTTTTATTTATATATATGTAAAAACCTATTTTCAGTTATGTCAAAACATTATCTAAATAATGCTTGAAGATACATATAGGAAGGATGGAAATCTGAACTCTGATAGCAGACTGCTTATAATTAATTTAGCTAAAGGAATTTGACAACAAAAACTGTCATGTCACAGATAAAACAAGTAGTCTTAGTCTGGTCTGAACTGATCTAACAATATACTCAACATTGGGTTTTTTTTCTCTCCTTGTGGAACAGGCCCTGGAGTTGCTGGCTATCTTACTGCAGGGAGGCCTTCGCCCGTTATGCCCAATGTTCCACCTCCTGTCGATCACGAAGCTGGAGATATTGGCTAAGGGATATGAATGGCCTACACAAGGGACTCAAAGGCAAAGATTTATTGGCTTAAACCTTTAGAATAAATTTTGTCTGCCTTTCCCAGTTTCAAAACAGTGTTATTCCTTTTTCTATGAATATTTTTTTTAGAAATTCTACTGCATTGTAACATAAAAAAGTACTTTGTGGACCAGCCTAAAAGAGTACACAAAAACTTTTTCTTGCTGTACATAATCACATTTATTTCTTATATTTTTGTTTACAAGACTGTGAATCGAAACAATTTTCCTAATATTTTGTATTATATTAATTAACATGACTGAAGTTGAACTGCAGTCTCAAAGAATTGGCTAAATCATTTGATCCTCCTAAATTGCACTAGAAGTTTATTTCTTCAATGCTTCAAGTTGGATTTGATCATCCTCTGAGAACTTGACTGGTTTGATGTTGTTTGTCTACATCCCCAATCACTAGCATAAATAAGATCCTGGTGTGTTTAACTGGCTTTACCAAATCAAAAACTAAAATACAGCAAAATTATATTTAAAAATTACATGGTATATAAAAAAGCATTGTGTCATTGTGATATGTTCTATACATTATTCAGTATATAAAACTTTCTATATTGAATGTACATTATACAAATCATTCATATGTACATAAAATTTAAAAGAATAAAGGGAACTGTAAGCCTTGTTGAAACAAGCTGGTATTACTGTTTCATTTCTTGGTAAAACTAAAAGGAAAATCAAGATACCTTTATGAATACTGATCTAAAATGGTGTGTTTTTTTCTGTTAATACTGGCTTTGGTGGGATGAGGTAAGAGAATTATTCAGTTATTTTCAGAGTTCTAGCTAGACATCACAAGAACTGTCAACAACAGAGACAAAAATAGACATTTCTACAAAACATAACTTGGGAATTGTAGGGGAGAAATTAGATCAGAATTTTCCTCCGTTCTATGCAGTTATATCTTAGCAAATGTTTAGTACTGTTTCAGCTCTTGTATGAGTGCCAATTAATCCTTTTGTGAAACTGACAACAAAGAAGTCCATGAGTTTTAGTGTGTAATTAGATGATAAACAAAATGGCAATTTTGCTGTGACTTCCACTTTAGAACAACTGCTATGAATTTGCCACTTTTTTCTTTTTTTCAGTCTCCAAAACTAGGACAGGAATGACTAATTACTTATTGCACATTATCTTAAGTGTCAGAGGATGCACAGTGTGACTACTATTTTGTATTTTGCCCAGGAGCAAAATACAGTACATAGAGGTTTTGTCTTTCAAACAGTGGTTTATCTATAAGACATATATATACTACATACATATATACATACAAGTACTACACAAAACCAGGCAATCTATCTATCTTTAACTATAACACAGAAACAGACGGGAGGAGAGACCATCTATTAAAACATCAGCTATTAAAACATCATTACCTTAACACTCCTCCAATTTAAAGCTGAACAGCTGAATGCTTTAACATAATTAATGATACTTGCTTTCTCCTGTGTGCGGTTTGGAGAATCCAAGCATGGGTTTAACTTTTGTCCATTAGCCTTGAGACTGAGTTAGAAAAGTCTTGGCCACGCCCCCTGTAGCTGGTAGAGCCCAGTTTTTTAACTCAGTCCAGCCTTGGAAAGACATAAATAATTTTTCTCTAGGCAAATATTATTAAAATATCAATAAAATTGTTTATCTACCATCCTTCTTAATGGCATTAAGACTAGAATTAAGGAAAAGTAGTTTGTGGATTGATTAGCTGTGGCTGTGTGCGTTGGTTTCCCAGCCTGCCAGTTAGAACCGCCACTACCCTGAGATGAATAGTCGAGGGTGATGGTTGATTTATCTTCTCAACCATTGCGCGTGGAATCTGGATTGTTCCCGCAAGTTTCAGCAGCCGGAGCTACTGTCCAATCACTCGGACTAGCCTTTTTTTTTTTTTTACTGCGCGAGGTTGGGCATAAATCGGGGAGTTAGGTGTGCTGTTCCCAGATGCTGTAACGATCTCTGCGGAATTTGTGGGGAGCCAGTGCACTGTTTCCACTCTGGTTGGTCTCCGCAGTTTGAATTTTATGCCTCCTTACTAGTGTCTGCCATTTTGGAGCAGCACAAGTGCCATGGTGACTGTTGGTTTTTGGCACCAAGAAGTCAATCTCAGGGCTACACCGTTGCGCAGCTAAATCTCTTTTGTTTGGCACAATCTTCAGAGCTTCCTCAGAGACAGTCTCTTATCGCCCTTGCTTTATCAGACATTTTTTGCACTTGAGAGGTTTGTAGTAGAATCACAGCAGAGATGACCATCTGGCATGTTTGGGCTGTTGCATTGTGGAGATCAAACTTCCTGTTACTCAGGGCCGTTGCATTTCCTCCAAATTACAGACCCCACTTATAGAAAGGTGGCTAGCCTTCATCATGACTAATTGCTCCATCTCAGAGAGCAGCACCAGAGCGGAGATCTCCCCAGGATCCCAGCCCATACTGAGAACCTCCACTGATAGGGAGGTCAGAGCTTCAACCAGTAGTACTTCTTCTAAGTCCCGGGCAAGCGGGTCAATGTCTCGGGCCCCTACCACGGCGGCTAATAGGGAGTTTAGATCAAGACAGAAGGCCCCCGGGAAGCTCCTTTTAAGTCTTCTAAGACTATCAGAGGATCACGCAAGGAGCATTTACCCTCAGTCTTGGCATTGGAGACCTTGCCCTCACATTCTCAACCTGCATCACCTCCCACTCTGCAGGCCACACAGGGCTGGTCCCCTGATGTTGTCATTTCCCAGGGTTTATTAGCGGAGGAAGTCAGATTGGGGCCTACTTCTCCATCTGGCCTTTCAGGGATTGAGCCACTCTATGATCCTGAACCGAGGGGATCGGTGCCAGTGGCTACATTGCCTTCCACATCGGTGGGGCCCCAGGGGAAGGACAGTTCCATTCCAAAGGTTTTATTTCTTTTAAAAAATACAAATATTTCATCATTCGTCAATCATTAAAACATTGAAGTACAATTTTTTTGTATGCCCCTCCANAATAAGAGAAAGTGTGGCAGGCCAAAATTCTAAAAGGAATATAAATACAGGCCTGACACTCGGGCTATTTGCTGATATTCTGCCTTAATTATGTGTCCCTCTTTCCACTTTTTATACCTGTTCTTTTTATCTTTCAATTTGTTAGAGAGTTCTTTATGCAAACATGCTGGTTTCTTTTGAGAGCAGTTATTTTTCTTCTTCATTGGTATTGTGCTAGACTGGGCTTTTATAATCTCACTTTTCAAATTATGCAGACTTCTTGAGTTGTTTTCCCCTTGAGGATTCTCATCCATGGAATCCTTCCCAAGCTCTCTCTAAGTATATGGAAATTAGCTTTCTTAAATCCAGTTTGACTTTGTTCTATTACTTGTGCATGCATAATGTTGAATTCCAATATTGCATGATCAATTGCCCCAAGGTTCCTGTGGCTTCAACACCTTCTACCATTTCATCTCTGTTAGTGAGAATTAAGTCCAATATGGCTGATCCCCTTGTTCCCTTCTCTACTTTTGGGGAAACAAAATTATCAGCTCTGTTAGGAACCTGTTGAATCTTTCATTTGGTGCAGAGTTTGTCTCCAAGTTGATATCAGAATAGTTAAAATCCCTCATTACTCTGTGAACCGCTTAGAGGGGGCTGAGAAAGCACTATGAAGTGGCATATAAGTCTAAGTGCTATTGCTATTACTATTGTGATGTGCTTCCTACCTAGTTAACTGACCAGCAAAAAGTTCATCTATTTCCTCTTTGTTTGGGTGGCCTATAGTTTACACCTATGGCAATGTCATTTTTTCTCCCTTGATATTGACCCAAATGTATTCAAGATAATTTTCTTCATTGTGGTGCTCTATTTCTGTAGAGATGTAGTTATTTCTTATATATAGTGCAATTCCATCTCCTCTTTATTTGGTCTATTTCTTTTAAATAATTTAAATCCCTCTAGCTGTATGTTCCATTAGTGGGTTTCATCCCACCAAGTTTCTGTAATGGNGCGCCCAATGTTCGAGTCTGTCAAGATCCTTCTGTATCTTAAGCTTATCTTCCGGAGTGTTGGCTATTCCTGCTAACTTGGTGTTGTCTGCAAATTTGATGAGTTTCCCATCTATCCCTTCATCCAAGTCATTAACGAAGATGTTGAAGGATACTAAAACAGAGCCTTGGGATACTCCACTGCATACTTCTCTCCATGTAGATACAGTTCCATTGAGGACTACATGTCGAGTGTGGTTGGTCAACCAGTTACAAAATCATCTGGTGGTGATGCTGTCTAGCCCGCATTTTATCTAGTAGTAGGTTATGGTCTATTTATCAAATCTCTTACTGAAGTCCAAGTAAATTATATCGACAGTATTCATCTGATCCACTAATTTTGTCACTTTGTTAAAGAATGCAATAAGATTAGTCTGGCATGATCTGTTTTTGACAAACCCATGTTGGCTTTTGGTTACTACTTTGTTTGCTTCTAGGTGTTCACTGATTTATTGATTGATTATCTTTTCCAGATTCTTCCCTAGGATTAAGGTCAGGCTGATAGGCCTGTAGTTTTCCCTTTTATGAAGATGGGAACTACACCCGCTTTTTTCCAGTCCTCTGGCAGTTCCCCGGTGCTCCAGGATATCTGAAAGATATAGTTCAGTGGTTCTGAGATCTCATCTGCCAAATCCTTCAGAACCCTGAGGTGTAATCCATCTGGTCCTGGTCAATTAGTCTAGGGTAGACAGGTGCTTACTTACCTTTTTCTTCCCTATTTTAACTTATATTTCCAATCTGGTTTTTTTTTGTGTGTGTTGCTGTTTTTGATAGGTTGTACTGTTTTTCCCTTTGTTTAAAGACAGTTGCAAAAAAACAAGTTAAGTAGTTCTGCTTTCTCCCTGTTGCATCTTTTGCAAAACTCAGAAACTGGCATGGCCAAGCCTTCTGTGCAAGAGATGAACACATTTCCAAAGTTTGGGCACATTGAACTTTTTGTCCCTGCAACATATAAAGATTATCCTGCTTTATGCCCTGTACACATACACTTCCCATTTACAAATGTGGTCTCATATCCATGCTTGTCTAAGCTCGAGACACTTAGTAAATTATGCTCCATTTCAGGGACACACAATACATTGCTAAACTCTTCCTTCAGACATGGAAGCACCACACTCCCTTTTCCAGAAGCCGAGATGGTGCAGTGGTTAGAGTGCAGTACTGCAGCCACTTCAGCTGACTGTTAGCTGCAGTTCGGCGGTTCAAATCTCACCGGCTCAGGGTTGACTCAGCCTTNCTGTGTATCTTATAACTGGTATTGCCCAGGTATTTATGGCCTTGATTGTATTTCCACCATTCAATTTAGATTTTAAAATTTTCCTAACTCTGTTGGTATACTCTCGCCTGACAATAGTTTTTACTTCTCCATGCTTGATGTTATCCAACTGCAGAATGCCTAAGTATTTGTAGGCTTCATTTTCTTTGCATTTGCATTTGTTGTTGTTGTTGTTGTTGTTATTATTATTATTATTATTCAGGACAGTACTGAAGTTGCAGGGCTCATGGGTTTCAAGCAATAACCCAAGCCACAAAATGATTAGACTACTGGATTAGACTACTTTCTGGCCCTGTTTGCATAACAGCTAGCATAACTAAACACTCAGCCCATGAGCTTGGAAAAGGTCAACTTTGAAACAAAGCCAACT